GCAAAAGGAAATAAGCTGGATGCAAAAGGACAAATACTGAGTGATTCCACTTACATAGGTACTGAGAATAGTTGAATTTATAGAGACAGAAAGTAAAAGGGTGGTTGCCAGGGGATGGGGAGAAGGGTAAATGGTGAATGGGGAGTTAGTGTTTTATGAATGTAGAGTCTGAGTTGATGAAAAGAATCCTGGAGATGGATGGCAGTGATGTTTGCACATCACTGTGGATGTCCTTAATGCTACACAACTGTATATGTAAAAATAATTAAAAATGTGAACTTTATGTTATGTCTATTTTATTACAATTTTTAAAATGTAGCTCCCCCCTTCCTCTGAGTTTGTATTCTCCAACAGATTTCTGGTTATCATTTCTCTTTATGTATAATTTTCCTGTAGAGAAAATAAGTGGTTGGCTCAGCAAGCCCTACACTGACAGTCCTTCAGGCTGACGACTAAACAGTCATTCTGATTTATACATCAGGCTCTTGTAAGTGTGGGTAACAAGGAACTAGGTCTTACAGAAGGATGAATGGCAAAACTGTGTTTCTAGAAGGCATAACAGAGACTCAGACCCTAAAAAGCAGTGACAGCCTAAGCCTGTGGTCTAGGGATGTCTTGGTTACCACTTCTCTGTCTAGTAGCAAAGCCAGCCTGTTACAAAAAGCAATGCCATTTTCAACTCCAAGATAGGCCCTGTTTCCCTTCCTTCTTATAAAACTAATTTTTTTTCATTTGATTTATTTAAGAGTGGGAACACATAAGCAGGGGAGAGGGGCAAAGGGAAAAGAGAGAGACAGAGACAGAGACAGAGAGAATCTTAACCAGCCTCCATGCTCAGCAAGGAACCAGATGCAGGGCTCGATCTCACGACCCTGGAATCATTATCTGAGCTGAAATCAGGAGTCGGACACTTAACTGACTGAGCCACCCAGATTTCCTCTCCCCCCAAACTAACTTTTAGTTAAAAATCCCCAGGAATGATTTCCCAAACCACAATTACCTTCTCTTCCTGTGTCAGGCAGACTACTTTGTTGGCGTAAGAACTAGATAAAACTTAGCACTGCTGTAGAAACTTAGCACTGCTGTAGAAACACTTGCTTAGTGTGGGAACTGTGCCCTTCTTCTACTGCCAACATTGTTAAGGGAGAGGAAGAGGGGAGAAAAACAGCACCATTTAACCAGGAAGGCAATTTTAAAAGAATAAGATAGGGGCGCCTGGGTGGCTTAGTCGGTTAAGCGTCCGACTTTCGCTTGGGTCATGATCTCGCGGTTCGTGGGTTCGAGCCCCGCGTCGGGCTCTGTGCTGACTGCCAGCTCAGAGCCTGGAGCCTGTTTCAGAGTCTGTGTCTCCCTCTCTCTGACCCTCCCCTGCTCACGCTGTCTCTCTCTCTCTCTCCTAGAAATAAATAAAAAAAAATAAATAAAAGAATAAGATAGAAACCCTTCTTCTCTGTATATTCTAGACTCCCCTGTCTTCACAGGGTAGGATGGGAGTCTCTTCCTTCTGCTGTTAGGATGTCCACTGTTGATCCATAAGCCTTCTTGCATTGCACTGACACCGCCTGTTTACTCTGTCTCCCAGTGGAATGGAGGCAACTTCAAAAACTCTGTCTTCAGTCTTTGTTTCCTCAGAGCTAGGGCTGTCCTGGCACACAGTAAGAACACCATAACTCTGGGCCAGAAAACTAAACAGCATTCTGTTGTGTCTCATTAACTCTACAATCTCACCAATTATTACACACTACAATTGCAAGACCACCAAGAAAGGAAAGAAAAGTACAGTCGAGAGTTCTAAAACATTCCAGTTTTAGAGTTATTATCACTTTGACTGAAGGCCTGGACCTTGGAAGATACGGCCACAAGAAGATTGAAGCCTAATTGGTATCACTTCATAAATACATAAATGTGCACATACATCTACACAGACCAAAACCTGCTTTCTTAATTAGTTCACCTGGCGTCTCTGTCTTGAGCTTTTCCTCTCAGACCAGGCATTGTTTCAGACTTGTAAGAATCACTTTCTGGTCTGAATACCAGGTGACTAAAAATAGAGAGAGGGACTTGTCCCCATTTCTTAGCTTTGGTTATATTCTGAGGCTCGGCTCTAAAAAAGAGTATTATTTGCTGTCTCCACCAAGGCAGCTTTAATGATGAGGATCAGTGTATCAAAATGGAAAACACTTTTGCCTCCAGGCAAGACTATAATAAAATACGCTCATTCATCATCTGCCGAGAGGAAACATGTCACTACAAAATTACTAGGTAATGAAAAATCTTGGCAGTCTTATGGCACTTTTAATCAGAAGATCTCAAAACAGTCCCACACTATCCTCAACAAAGTCTTGTCATCAGCAGGATGCAAAGTAGAAAGTGTCCCTTTCTATAGTATAATACGCCACAAATCTAAGATTTTTTTTTAAAGTTAAGCAAATTAGTAAAAAGCAAATAATAATGATGATGATTATATACATAGACACATTTACATATAAATACACGTACACATGAAATTTTAATTTAATTGCATATCGAGTGAGATCGTGGACAAATATTTGATTATAAATCCTCAAGCACCACACAAGTAATAATAAGGAGCTGGGCTTCGATCCTGGCTCTGCTGCTTCCTCCTTCTATGACCTTAGGCAAACGTCCTACCATGTCTACGTGTCAGTGTCCTTATTTATAACAAGGGGCTCATAAGAATATACACCTCACTGTAACTTGGGTCCATGGGATGCTCCCTGTAAAGCTGACATATGACAAATGCTCTGTAAATATTAGCCCCCCACATTTGAACTACAATAGAGGCCTATTTACTATGCCCACGGACCCACTCCCTCCTCCCCCCGACAGCCTGGTCTTAGTTTCATAATGCTTTCATTTCACCACCACCAGTTTGGTCTCACTTCCCTCCCCAGCCAATTTGGGACCCAAGCAGCCACTGCATTTGCTAAGCCATGGGATCCATTCTTCTTTGCCCTGCCCCACCTCATGTTCCTCTCTTCCTTCTGTGATATCCTCAGGCCAGGAAAGTTACAATGACCTCAGCTCCAGTTTTCTCAACTCTAATCCATCCTACATAGCTGTACCTGTTTATGAAGTCCTAAGCATGACATTTCTCTATTCAAAATTCTCAAAGCTTCCCCACTGCCTACTAAGTTCACTTCTGATCACAGCACTCAAGACATCCCACTTTTGGGTTCAATCTACCTTTCCAAAGTACCTCTCCAACTTAGCCAATCTGACATACCTATCCCTATGCCATATCCCCCCACATCCATGGTTTTGCTCATACAACTTTCTTCTATTGCAATGTCCTCCCCTTCATCTCTGCCCTTAAAAATCCTAATCTGCCTTCTAAACAACCAATCTCAAATTCCACCTCCCCTGCAGTGTACCTTTCCAACCTCCTTTGAGCTGTCTCATGTGTGTCTTCTTTGGGACACTTATATTTCATCTTGCATTGAGGTTGTTTCCATCATAAGGCCTCCCTCACCTCTGTAGCCTGTCCATGACTTTGCTCTTACAAGTGGACAATTAATATGGATGTTAAGCTGCTGTGTTTAATTGTTATATTTGAATACACATATTTACTTTGAGTCCCTAGGTCACATATGCCACTAAAACAGGGAGATAAAATAAAATCAACCCTTTGTATTTGCTGCTGTATTTAGCAATATAAGATGGGTCCTGGGTTGCTGGAATCAAAATGATACATCATTGGTTCCTTTAACATGCAACAAATAAAAACTTGGCCATGATGTCCATTCAACTAACTATAGTACTGCTAAAAATATCTTAATCTGCATGTGGATATAAACTGAAAATTGACCAACAAATGTTTTGGTTTTTGCTTGTTTGTTTTTTGAGGTTTTGATTTAGTGGTTCTTGGGGCGGGGGGGGAACAAACCATTACAGTTCTTGCTATAACAGAAAGCTTGGCAAAATGCTCTGTCCAATCTCAGAATAGAAAGATGTAGAAAATAGAGCTGAGCTTCAGTAATTTAAGATAAGCCTGTAAAATATTAAATGAAACTATTTTTAAAAATATGTTTTAACCCTATCTTTACTGTTTAGCAGTTTTCAATGCTAATGAGTCTTCTTGATGAGCAAATCAGACAAAGTATGTGAAAGTAGATGGGAAAGAAATGATTTTTGAAAGTCAGAATATCTTAGTAATGGATCCCCAAATACTTCTCAGATTTTTAAGTCTGGTCCTAAGCTACTTGGTCGGGAATATATCCAAAAACTACTCAAGAGACATCTCTAGAAAACACTATTCAAGAAACCCTGCCTCTTGGGGTTACCAAGAACTTTGGCATGGTTGTATATCTCAATCCGGTCAGAATACTCAACAGTGAAATTTTCAGTAAGACCTCTAAAAAGAAGATAGATAAATAAATCAAAATTATGCCTTTTAAGAGCAGCAGCTTTTTTTTTTTCAAATAACTTCCTTCTCCTGCCTCTAAGTCTTGGAAAACTATCAGAGGAATGCCCATATTATGAATAGTTTTATAGGTTGGTTCCTTTCTTTACTACCATGCATAGGGTTCCTCATTTCCAAATTTTCCCAGACTGCTTTGATACCATGTGATCCCTTTTAAGTAGGGACAGTTTCTTAATTCTATGATCAAGTCTTCTATATTGTGGGTTTTCATATAAATAAATTCATGTACCAGTTTAAAAAAAAAAAAAGCTTTCCCAGACTACCTTACCCTTAATCTTTTATTGAGACACTTGGCTCTGAAGCACCAAGGGCAGTTAATTAAAGACCAATTTTGGGCATTGTTAAGGCCCCAGTGCATATTATCCTTGCCCCTACATCCTTTGAAAACCTTATGAGAATTTAAAAGGGTTTATACACTTCCTGTCACTACTAAGAGTTCCCTTTAACATCTTATTCGCTAATAATATTAACCAAGTTTTTTCCTGAAGGAATCCACCAAATGATCAGAACTCTCCTCCAACACCATTCCTTCCATAACAGCATTGGGAAAACTCACCGTTGGCGTTTCAATAATTGATGGTCTGGGGATAGAAGTCTGGAAAGTAACTGCTTCAGAGTCCAATTTACCGTCTAAGGACCCAGGTGAACCCTCAGGGGTCTCAGCAGGCTGGTTGGCACTGTGGTTACTTGAATTCAGATTTGCACTGCCATTTCTCTCTGAATGGGTGCTGGAATCTCGTCTTTTCTCTGGAATTCCTTCTTCCCCTCTCGAGTGACTCAGGTGCTGGTCTGCTTTGGCCGTGGGCTGAACATAGATGGTGGAATGAGTATCAGCTGCACTGGGCTGATCAAAGGGAGCATTCTCCCTTGTATTCCCAAAACAAGCAAGCAGAGCTGAGCATGGAAATGGATGCATCCTTCTAGATGGAGATTTCAGTCTTTTGGTGAGCCTTGCTTTCCACGTGGACATGACCTGCAGTAAAACATTGCAAAGTTCAAAGCAGGGGAAACTTTTCCAGGGATTCAGATCACCTCCAGTTTTCTTATAGTAACTATCTCCTTGTCTGAAGAGAAGGACTGTCTAGTGGTTACTCCCAAATACAAGATTAGGAGATGGCAGTTCCACCCTCTCTAGGAGTCACTTAGCAGCCAACTCCCCTTTGGAAGCGTCCATCCCGGGTGATTTCACGCTCTTCCTTCCTTGATGCTGTCACTGGTTAAAGAAAGCTGTCTGTGAAGCATGTGCTGGCTTGGGTTACAGTCCCTAGGCAGGGCAGACGCTTCAGTGTAAGGTAGTGCCAAGTCAATAGACAGTTGCTTCAGGTTACCTTGGAGGCATAAAGATAATGTAGCCTGATAGCATTCGCCATAATAGCGTCAGCCTGTGTATCAATAACATCATAACAGCAGCATAACCTTCTTGGGTTACCGCCTTCAAATATTTATTCCTCCAAACAAAACAAACACCACCAACTTATCCATCACAAATGAAGCCCCCCGGAGGGTCCTCAACCCTGGCAGCTGTTTCATTTTTCAAATAGGAGGTACATTTGAATCTTTTGTCTGGGAAGATCCCTGTTTTTTGGGATTGATGTCACAGGGACTTATCTGGATCTTTCCTGAATCTACTTCCAAACAAGTTTCCTGGCTTCAGGATCCATATTGCTCCTTCTGGTAACTATAAAGAGTCGTTGTTAATTTGCTTTTTCACTACCTATCTAGGTCCTTGGTTAATTTTCAACAACACCAAAACAAAATAATAACTAACCAAAATGAACAATTAACACAAGTATTATGTGTGAATGTGTGTTCCCTTCATTTACTGTATGTATTATTTAATTTTAGAAAATAACCTCTTTTGAACATAGATCTTCTGTTTTTCAACACATCAATATGTAAATGGTGAAAAATAGTAAATTATAACCATATTCTAAGAATATGCTCAAAATTGAGATTTTTCCTTAGCAAGCATCTGCTAGAAATGTTAGAGAAATATAATACTGTAATGATATTACCATTAATAGTGACTTTCAGATCAAGATTTCAGGGTATATTACCCATTCTAATTTATTCATTTTCTCTCTCTTTTATTTTAATGTCAAGATGTGCTTTTAAGTCCAGACAGGTGGTGGATATTATAGCACTAATCCTCCATTAGACAGAAAACAATTCCTTGAAATTTCAAGAGACTAATGCAAGGTTATGCTGTTGAGAAGGGCTGGTAGCAAGTCCAAGATCACTGCTCCCTATCTGATCTCTGAGTTTCATTCAACCTGACAGTCATCAACATAACAGCTATACTGGGAACATTGCTCTGAATGGGCAGTCATAGCCATCATACACCAAGTCAGATTTGGCTTGAGGAAGGCAGATAGAGTATCAATGCAGACTTTGATGTAGTCTTTACCAAAGTTTAGAAATAAATGGGGCCTCAGTCAGTTAAGTGTCTGACCTTCGCTCAAGTCATGATCTCATGGTTTGTGAGTTTGAGCCCCATGTGGGGCTTTATGCTAACAGCTCAGAGCCTGGAGCCTGCTTCTGATTCTGTGTCTCCCTCTCTCTCTATTCTCTTCCCCAACTTGCACTCTGTCTCTTTCTTACAAAAATCAATATTTAAAAAAAATTTTTTTAAATAAAAAGCCACCATTACTGAGAGGTTATTATGCAGCAAGCCCTGTGCTAACCCAGGTACACCAGAAGGAAATCTTAAGAGTTGATTCTCCTTTTATTTTTTTTTTATTCTTTCAGATTTATTGATATATTTGTCATTTTGATTCTCCTTTTAATATCCAAGTACAAGCAGTGCAAATCCCCCCTCCCTATGATAGCAAGAAGTCCAGGCTTTTAGCAGGCTCCCCCACAAGTGTTCCGGAGAGGCCTAGAAACGTGTTTTGTCTCCCTTCGGCCATGGTTGCTATCATCCCCTCGGGCAAGGTGACTCCAAGATGCTTCCCTCAGGTGGCTCCTTCTTGGTCCCCTCTCTACCAAGTATGGTTGCAGTCAAGTGAAGATTGGTTAACAAGACTTTATTGAAGGCTTGTGGATGACAAGAGGGAATTAAAGAGAAGTAAAAATCATTCTTAAACCTGGTCTCATTCACTCAGTCATTTATTCCTTCAACTACATGCCAAGCACTGTCTAGAACTCAAGAGACAGCAGTTAACAATGTAGCTTTCAAGAGGCTACAGTTGGTAAACATTTGGGCAAAAAAGTTCTGAGCCTTCCCAGACCTGTTGACTCTCTCTTCTTGGCCCTGACTTTGCAGCCCTGCCACAGTGACCACCTCCCCTGTCCCAAGGGGCGCACCTCTGGCCAGAGTGCCAGCTCTGGCCCACGAAGAACAGTGGCTTCTTTTTAGCTAGCAGGGTAGCTAAGTCTTACCTAAAATAACAAAATTAACAGATAATGAGAGTTTATTATCAGTTGTGAGTCTCAACAAATTAACTCATTTAATCCTCACAATCCTAGGAGAAAGGTGATATTATTAATTCTCATTTTTACTCATTAGAAAAACAAGACACAGAAACTTAAGTAACTTGCCCAAGGTCACAGCATTGCTAAGGAAGAGAGCCAGGATTATGACCCCAGGCAGCCTGGCCCCAGAGTTCATGCTGTGAATCACTATACAATATCACTTTCCAAAAATACATATCTGCTCCAAAGAGGAACTTTCCAAAGGCCTTCAATCCCATACTCTACCTCTAGGAATTTATTCTACAGATATACGTATTCACAGAGCTATGTCTAGAAATGTTCATTGCAGCAGTGTTTGGAATCACAAAATTAAACATTAATCAGTAGAAGACAAGCTAATATATATATTTAAAATCCAGACAGTTGAACACTATGCAACTATTAAAAAGAAGGATGTAGAGACCTCATGTTTAATATGGTTTTCTAATTAAGTACATGGATTTATACCCTTCCCTTTCTAAGAAATCATTAAGATAATAGTAATGGAATTTTTTTAAAGGCTTAAGTTCACAATACCAAAGGGAATAGGAAGAAAGCTGTTAACATACAAGAAAATGCAACAAATTCCTATAAAACAAAAATCAGATGAAATATTAATTAATGAAAAGAAAACCCAGAAAACAGAAAGCCAGAATGCTGAGTACAACTGCATGGAACCTTTTGTCTTGGGCAACAAGAACAATGAAACTTAAGAGAAGGTGTGAAAATGCGGGATTAATTGAAGGTCTGCCTCTGAAAATCAAAAGTTTTCTATACCTTACTGTACCTGCAAAGAGGCTACAAAATGAGTAAGGGAATGAACAAATGAATGAATGAACAAATTAAATCAGATAAATAAGTAAACATGAATTAATAAAAGTTAAGGTGTGGGGGTCAGGGTTTTATTTATTTATTTATTTATTTTTAATATTTTTATTTATTTCTAGGAGAGAGAGAGAGATGGCGTGAGCAGGGGCGGGTCAGAGAGAGAGGGAGATACAGACTCTGAAATAGGCTCCAGGCTCTGAGCTGGCAGTCAGCACAGACCCCAACGCGGGGCTCGAACCCACGAACCGCGAGATCACGACCTAAGCGAAAGTCGGACGCTTAACAGACTAAGCCACCCAGGCGCCCCTCAGGGTTTTATTTAAATTTGTCTTTTAAAAAACTGTCTGATCAGTTCTTATCTACAGCTCTTATCTATTTGATGAATTGTCTAATGAACTAACAAGACCAGCTAGTGTGGATGTCAATGTCCAAGAATGAAGGCCCTCTGCTGCTTTATTTCGGCCCCAATATAATAGCTAAGAGTTCTCTATCCATCCATTGAAAGTGAACTCATAAGTTAAAGAGTCTCAGTCACCTTCACAGAGTTCCCCATCTTCAAACTCTTCCTTCATGTGAAAATACAAACAGATCACAAGACATCACAAGACGTTTGAGAACTGCCAACATCAAGGACAACAAGCAAGGCAAAAGAAAAGATCCTAGCAAGGAAGAATGAGGGAATGACAGTGGGTAGGCAGCAATACCTGCCCATCAAAGTGTGGTATGAGTATGCAATCAATACATCGCAGCTGGGTTCTGAGTGACCGGAGGAGAGGAGAGTAGGGAGGGTCTTTGCAACTTGATCCCAGGAACGTGCCCTTGGTGCCACGCAGGTCACAACAGGGGTCCTAAAATACAAGAAAACATTAATTTGCTCTGTCATAAAAACTGTATACAGAGCTATCATAATGTAAATACTATTCCCACTATTTTTTGACTTTTAGAAATTAAGACCAAGAATTGCATGCTGGTGACTCTCAAGCAAAATTAGGTCTAAAGATGTGTTTTGTTTGGCTAATGACATTTTAAAAAATTTATTCCACCACTGTTAGATCACAGAGACTCCACTCTCTGTATCTTTTCACTGAGTCAGTTCACAAGTTTATATAAACAGAACACTACAGACATTAGAGTTTGTGGTCTAGGGTGGGTATTTGCTTCATTTCCCCCTGGATTCTCTTTCCTGTTTCATTGGCATGAGTTGAGTTTTCTATCACTTGCTGCTAAAGAGTCCTAATCAATGGCCCACAAGTACCAGCAAATCACAGAAGACTTCATTATGGTTACGGAATAGGATAAAAACATTATCAACTTGACAATGGCAAAATAAAGGGAGAGCTGGGAGGTTTTGAGAAATGGACAAGTTGTAAGGTGGTTGGAGAGAAGGATAGGTTTGCAAATACTGTTATGTTTCAAAGTCAGAAGGACTCCCTATGGTTGATGCAAAGAGGAATGGAGTTGGGGACCCTGGGTAGCCCTGTCATTTGGGCTTCTGGCTCTTGATTTTGGTGCAGGTCATGACCTCATGGTGGGTGAGATCAAGCCTCACATTAGGCTCTGCCGTGAGCATAGAGCCTGCTTGGGATTCTCCCTCTCTCCCTCTGCCCCTCCTCCACTCATTCTCTCTCTCTTTGAAAATAAATAAATTGGGGTGCCTGGGTGGCTCAGTCAGTTAAGCATCCGACTTCG